AGCTACGAAACACTTGTGCGGACGCGATGTTCTGGTGCCAAATTCGACGCTATCAACTTCGATGGTCTACAGTGCCTGTTCTATGTGGCCGGATTCCGAGGAGCGGAGTTTGCAGACTACAGAACACGCCTCCTGAGGAAGCTGGATCAAGACGATAACATCTCGATCACGGACCTCACCGCCGAGTGCCAGCTAATGAAGTCATACAAAGAAGACGCCAAGATGCTGGAAAACGCTGCCGGTGCTGCTGCTACGGTCAACTACGTGGCCAAAAGGAGGAAAAGAAGAAATTTCAAGCCGAAGCAGATGCGGAAGGGCAAAGAAGACACGACCACATTTTCCTATTCACCACGATCTGGTAATCAGGAATCAAGGTCACCGTCGCGTTCTCAGACCAGACGTCGCGGTGCAAGGAGCTACCAGATCAGAAGCATCGAGGCTGCTCTACGCGAGAACGCCCAACCACACCTTGAAGTCGAAGTGAATGGACGCTCTCTGAATTTTCTGCTCGACCTGGCGCCATGATCACGCTGATCTCAAGGTCGAGCTGGAGGAAAATCGGAAGGGCCCCCTATGGAGAAATACAACGCAGTCGTCAATGCGGCCATTGGTACAAGGATCTCAACTAGTTGACGCGTCATGGTCGACCTTGCGTTGAAGAATTCCGATGGAAGGCAGCATCACGAACATGGATATTGCTACGTCACCGAAGATCTCGACCTATTCGGTTGGGAATGGATCCAGAAGATCCCAGAACTAGGAAACCACTGCAAAAGTACATCAGTGGTGCGACCATCCTTGCTGATGCTGCCGCCGCTTGCTGAGAGGAGATCGTCGCCAAGCTGAAGGCCGACTACGCCGATGTGCTCAGAAACGGACTCGGACGATGCACATGGACAAAGGCGACGCTCCATCGAAGCCGAATGATCACTCAGTTTTCAAGAAGAAACGCCCCGTGCCGTATGCCTGCATCACGGCTTTGGACGCCGAGATCGATCGCTTGCTCAGAGAAGGAGTACTCTCTGCAGTCGATTATTCTGCCTGGGCAGCACCTATTGTCGTCGTCAAGAAAACAAATGGAACACTACGACTCTGTGCTGATTCTACCGGACTAAACGACGCTCTGATGTTACATCAGCATCCACTGCCCACTGCAGACGACGTCTTCACCAAATTGAATAGCGGCACAACGTTCACGCAGATCGACTTCGCGGACGCTTACCTCCAGATAGAAGTCGACGACGAGCGAAGGAGTTTTCAACAATAAATACGCACAGAGGACTTCTCCGTTACAACCGCCTCCCGTTTGGTATCAAATCTGCGCAGGCATCTTCCAGCAAATCATTGATTCTAGGATTTGCGGATTTCAAGGCTGCGCTGCATACCTCGACGACGTCATCGTCACCGGCCGCACAATCGCGGAGCACGTTGCCAACTTGGAAGCTCTGGATATCCGACAATGGCTTCCGCGTCCGGATCGAGAACTGTGACTTCCTAATGCCACAACTCCGATACCTGGGAAGCGTCATCGATTCAACCGGACGCCGACCCGATCCCGCCAAGATCGAGGCTATTCGCAAGATGCCACCACCCACGGACATCGCCCAGGTGCGATCGTTCTTGGGAATGCTCAACTACTACGGTCACTTCGTCGGCGAGATGCGACAACTTCGTGCACCGTTGGATGATCTCCTGAAGAAGGATATGCCGTTCAAATGGTCTGCCGAGTGCCAAGATGCCTTCCAACGCCCAAAGATGTGCTAGCCTCAGACCTACTGCTCACCCACTACGATCCCACGAAGGAGATCGTCATCGCGGCCGACGCATCGGAGTACGGGATAAGAGCAGTGATCAGCCACCGCTTTTCGGATGGAACAGAGAAAGCAATCCACCATTCTTGCCGTTCCTTGACAGCTGCCGAGAAGAGCTAGGGTCAAGTCGAGAGGGAAGCTCTCGCCATAACGTTCGCTCTGCGGAAGTTCCACCGCTACATACTCGGACGTCATTTCAAGCTGTTAACCGACCACAAGCCACTCCTAGCCATCTTCGGGAGCACAAAAAGCAGTGCCTGTCTACACAACGAATCAACTGCAACGCTGGGCCCTCGTAGTGAAGAGTTACGACTTCAATATTGAATACCGGAGCACCACCAGTTTTGGACGAGCAGACCTCTTATCTCGCTTCATCGCTGAATAATCCACACCAAGAAGATCAAGTCATTGCAGCTGTCGAGATGGATTCGGCGCTATTTTCGTCAATGCAACAACGAAACTGCCAGCGACGCTGAAACAGTGGCAGAAGAAACCACCAAAGACCCCATCCCGAAGACTGTTTTCGAGTGGATCAGAGTTGGAAGGTGGCCAAGGAAGTCAGATGTCGCAAGCCGATTTAACTCTCTCAGAAGATCGCTTTCAACGCAAAATGGATGTCTACTCCTTGTAACGCCGGATATCGCCTCGTCATTCCTGCGATCTTACAAGATGCTGTACTCTGCGAACTTCACGACGGGCATCCAGGAATGACACGGATGAAGATTCTCGCTAGGAATTTTGTATACTGGATGAACATCAAGAACGACATTGAAGACCTCGTCAAATCCTGTCGCCGCTGCCAGGAAACTGCGAAGAGCCCTATTAAAGCAACCCTGTGCTCATGGCCGATGGAGGACAAGCCGTGGAATCACACACACGCCGATTTCGCCAGACCGATGGATGGAAGGATGTATCTCATCATCATCGATGCCTTCTCAAAATGGCCGGAAATCGTCGACATGTCATCCACGACAACGAGCAGTACGATCAGAGAATTGCGCCGACTCTTCGCCCAATTTCGAAATCCACAAACGCTAGTGACGGATAACGGACCTCAATTCACATCCAACGACTTCAGCGAGTTCTGCAAGAAAAAGAAGAAAAAGAAGAAAAGCGGTATAAGGCATATCAAGTCGCCACCGTTCCACCCGCAGTCTAACGGCCGAGCAGAACGCTTCGTCGATACCTTTGAGAGGAGTTTCGCGAAGATGAAGGGAGCGACGTCGTCGAGTGAAGCACTACAGAATCTTCTGCTGAACTACCGCCGTACCCCCTGCCCTTCGACGCCGGGAGGGCAATCACCAGCTGAAGCGTTCCTTGGAAGAGAGATCCGCACAAAACTCAGTCTTCTGAAGCCGTCTGCCACTCGAAATGAAGTGATTCGAAACGAGAAGATGGAAGACCAATACAATCGCCACCATGGAGCACGACAGAAGGAGTTCAACGTGGGTGATTCAATCTGGACAATGGATTATCGTTCAGGGACTCCACGACAGATGCCTGGTCACGTTCAACACAGACATGGCAACAGGCTCTATGATGTATCAGTGGACGAAAAAAATATGGAAACGGCACCCTAAATAACTGCGTCCACGTATCATAAAATGTCGATCTATTACAGAGCCAGACACCGAACCCGCCGAACTGCCGTTGCCAATCGACAACTCACCGTGCACGACAGATGATGCCTCAAGAGAAGACAGAGCGAGAGTACGCCGTGCACCGCAACGATTGGTCACCGACTTGAGGAAGAAGACGTACATCTAGTGTCCATCTTAAGGGGGAGGTGTTGGATAGGTAAAGGCGATGGTGGTCATTGCTGGCCAGTGATAAGGTGGGTGGTCTGCCAGTCATGCCTGAGGGGCAAGTGAACTGGTTTTGGCGCCCAAATGTTGATCTCATGGGGATATATAAACCCCACTGTTTTGTTGAGTTTATTCGTCTAATGAATCTTTTTCTACTGCCGACTCGCCTACTGTCTCCGCATTCAACATTGAGAAATATTTCGTATTTCTCGTTCGCCAAACTTGCAGATTCAAAAGAATTAATCCAATCAATGCAAGAAAGATATTCACATAATCTGAAAAAGTTACAACTGGCTAAACCTTTATAAACCACCAATTGTTGTTGCACGTGTGGACTCGGAATAAGAAAGGAAAGACTACAAGGTAACTATCACCAATGGGAGACTCAACTGTTACCGCTAACAACAGACTTCTTCTCCAAATCCCCTTCATCTCGGACGTCAGTGCTGCCATAAAACGATGCCTTGTTCGAGCTGGTTTGGCAAATGATGTCGTTTTCGTCAATATCCCAAGGTCTAAGATCAAACGCCAGTTAGTTCTCAACAGGCTATACGACCGCTCCTTTAACACAGGGAGCTGCATTGTTTGTCTGTATGGAAGAGAAGGGGATTGTGAGCTCCGTGGTGTGATTTATCAGCTGCAGTGCTCAACCTGTGACGAAACATATGTAGATGAAACCGGTAGGCCGCTGAAGGTGCGCGTTAAAGAGCATCTTGCAGAAAAACGGCGAATCGACCCTCTCACGCCTCTCGGTAGACACCGATTTGAAAGGCATGGCGGGCAGGACTTCGCAGTGAAGTTTACTGTACTGGAACTTGTGGATGAGACGGGCACTAGAAAAGCCTTAGAGGCCTTCTTCATCAAAGCCCGAGACCCTAAATTGAACAACAGGAGTGAGTGTTTGTCCGTCACCGATGAATTCCTACCATTCATATCACTATGTAAGCTGTGAGTTATCACTCTTCTGCATACGCATCCGAAGCATCATGCAGAGCGCCTCATTTGCTCCAGTGGTCGGTTGTCGCGTGGTTGTTATATAGGAGCTCGGCGCTGGTGGAACAGTAGTGGGTGAGTGAAAATGGTTATTCTGCGACTCAGATGTATGCCTGAAAATTGTCGGGCGGGCCAAAGCCAACGTGTGATCGGACTGAGTGGTAGATTTGCACAATGATACCACTTTCAGGTCTTGATAACGACGATTTGTTCGAAACGTCGGCCCTTGTAAACTGTTCCATCATAACAGACCTCTACGGCACAGAAGCATCACGTATATAATTGTCTTAATATGCCGAGGTTTCAAGAAAACCAGACATGGAATCTGATATCTAATCGTGCTCTTTCAGAAAACACTTTCATAAACCAGAGAGAAATGGATGTCTCTAACCTTATAAGATCGGCGTCGGCACGGAGGAAGCAATTGAGAATCTTGTCATAGTCAGGATTCTGGAGGCTCATGTTACCACATTTCATCGCATTGTATATCACAACTGTACGAGCCAACGCCACGTCACGCGGCTCAATAGCCCAAGGTGCTGTGGCGGCTCCAGACTGAATAATAGCTCTCTGAAAAGTAATCAGTACACGACTTCTTCAACTCAAGAATTTCTGTACTGATTTTGCCGGGAGACGGCCAGGAGTAACTGCCGCGCTCGAAACTAGGTCACCGCGCGTGGTGGCCTAGTCGCTTTTAATCGCCTTATTTGCCCGACCTGCAGCCGTGCAATTTCAGCTGTTTTGGTCAGTCGAAGGCACTGTCAACGGTGAACGCTACTATTTACATTTTTTTTTCGTTCGCCGGAATTGGCATCAAGAGCAGTTTACTCGCACTTGTTGAAAAAACGAAGGTCCTAGCGGTCTAAACGCTCCCGAGGCACTGTGAGCGGGTCATTGATAAGAGAGGGATCAACTCAACTTGAAGTCGCCAAAATATCACTTTTTCAACTGTCTTGCTCTTGGCTTTGTTCGCATGAAACCTTCCCCAATTTTGATTTGGGATGAGCTAATAGTTAATTAGTCGGGGCGGAGGCAGGAAGTACTGGATTAACCCGCCTCCGGCAGCCTTGTTCTAACTATGGTGATCTGTTAGGATTTGATTTGAGAAGAAAGGATCAATAGTGAAACGTCGCGGCTGGGCTCATGATACCTCTCCTAAAACCACCACACTGATTGCAATGTCATCGATTGTACTCAACGGATTATATTGAATGAGATCTTTTTGTTGTTTACTCAGTATGCCTCTTATCCATTCTCTCAATTCTTCAATCACTCACACTTTACTGTTTGCTCTCACATCGCGTCATTTCTGATCACTTCAGCTGGAGATGTCCTTTCGGAAACTCCTTGAGAATAACAGCAGTTTCTATCCTCGTTCCGTTCAGTGTTCGCATGACCGACGACCGAAAGGCGGCACTAACTTACAGTTAATTTCGTCGCAATCCGGCTGCAAGAGCAATGGATTAGGTCCACCCGCCGTTTTTCCATACTCGCTGTTTTCTTCTTGAATCGATCACTAACCACTCACTATTGGTAAAACAAGGCGCCGGACGCCAGGTCATTTTGCCCTTACTAACACCGCAACGAAAGATATGCCATGACCAATAATATCGAATAGCGGTCTTATTCATGGGACTTGATAGCAAACAAGTCTTAAAGCCTTCCGCTGATTGATGAAATTGCGACGCAACGGCTTAACATATCTCATGCTCAGCATGTCAAAGTTTTGCGTAACATCCTCTTTTACAAAAGGGGTCAAGATAGAAGAGGCGCTTCGCCAATGACCATTGTGGACTAGTTATTACAATCAACAACTCATAAACACCAGTTAGGCATTGGTTCCGAGCTCATCCGGTCTCTCAGCATTCTTTTCCTTCCCCTTTGTACTTCAGATGCCGGTGTGGTCCGCAAGATCAGTAGTGGCGATCATAGTGATCATGTCATGAGTGGACCTACCGCATTGGATATCGACTATGTCGACTCTGGTGCCCAAAAGGGCGGGAAATGCGGCGCAGGGCCACTCCGGCAATTTTCCTCCAGTTTTGCTTCGCTGAGCACACGCTCACAGTCTCTACCTTCAAGACCCAATGTGGCTGAAGCCCTGGGCGCCAGCTATGGTTCTCTTTATTCGACTCTCAAGTTGCTGTGCAAGCAGGGCCCACTCTTCTCTTCAACCTGTCGAAAACATGTCATCACCTACAAGATCTGTCCAGTAACAATTCTGGCAAAAAACCTTCTTGTTGCAGATGAGCCGCTAAAGATCCCCCTCAAGGTCCAGTCGCAGCAGCTCCGACTCAGACCACTCTTCCGCCTCTTCAATCTCAAAGGAGAGGGCAGTGATCGGCAACTCTCGGTCGAGGTCAACGTCTCGTGAGAGGAGCGTTGACAAGGGCAGCGGAAGAAGTTACAGCTCACCACTAGCTCCTCCGATGCCGGATATTCGCATCCTTAGAGGGGACGGTTTGGCTCAGCCATGTACGAGGTACCAGCGCCTCCAGCAGTGCCGCAGAAGACACTCCGGGTAAGAGTGTCTATATCGGAGGTGAGTAATCGGCTTGAGCAGTCTCTTCAAACTTTGTGGTATCTTGTGACCTATTTTCATTTTCACTTTTTTTTCATGTTCAGCAAGCACGACAGCGATTTGACTCCTTCGCAGCAGGAATGTGACTGAGCCGCGCCGAGAGATCTACCCTACTTAGAGAGCTGCCGCTTGTCGAATCTCCTTTCGGGGAGGTACCAGCGATCGATGAACAGGGGACAACGACCGTGCCGTCCTCACACGCAAAGCAGAACTTCGCACTTCACACGAGACATTGCTAAATGTCCTCAACATAGTGGAGCTGATCCAAAAACTGGGCTCAGACGGACAGGGAAGCGCCTTCGCAGCCTCGGTGATCAGATATATCGAAATACTGGACACCCTTGTATCAGGGTCCCTGATGGACATTATTACAGTTCGCAGAGAACGGTTCCTCAAGGCACTGGGAATTGAACCGATGCGAGCGATGCCTTCGTATCGCAGACTACCACTAGCAGACTCAATTGTGGTGCATTACGTGCGTCAGACACTGATCCCGCACCTCTTTGGGAAGGAACTGCGCGATGGTTCAGCTTCTGCAGACTACGCCATAACAAAATCATTGCAGAAACTGAGAGCGCAGAGCGCTAAGAAGAGAAAAGCCACACCATCGCGTTACTCGAAGGACAGGTTGGTCTTTTCAGACAACTCTTCTCTCATTTGTTGTTTGTTTCGATTTCCGATAGAGAGTCGGTCCGCGAGGGTAGCGCTGTAGCACTTAGTCCACATCCTAGCCGCATAGCAGGTAGACTAACTGACTTCCTAGAAGCATGGGGGGGACGATTTTGTCAGATCCCTTTATATTAGAATCCATAAAGGGATACCGGATCCTTTTCGGTAGTACCGAACCAGGCCTTTTCCGTTGTGCCCAATTCGAGCGACTCTTTTATTCCCAAAAAAGATGGCTCCACAAGACCCATAATATATCTGAGACCTCTCAATGCCTATCGCGATATTCCTTGTTTCATGATGGACAGTTTGCACACCATAGCAGTCGTGGCGTTCAAGGGAGATTTCTGCTCCAAAATCGATATGCAAGACGCATATTTCGCAATCAACATATCTACAGAGCACAGTACACCAAGTTAATGCGAGTAGAGGCCGTACACTTTCGTGGTAGGGGGGATCAACTACTTGGATGATTGGGCCTTCTTTTGCGGACACACAGAGTGAATGCAACCACATTCAGCTTTTCGTGTATTTGGGTCTCTCTGTGAATCTACCCAAATCCCGCTTGATCCCTTGCCAAGAGTTCGAATTCTTGGACCTGACCCATAGATACAAAAAAGGAAAATTTAGTACCCTCCCAGCAAGCTCGAGCGATTCCAGACGGAAGCCTCGTCTCTAGATCAGAAAAGAGTTATATTGGCAAGAGAACTCTCAGCCTTTCTAGGACGCGTCAACTTCGTAGAAATAGTTTCCCCCCTATTCTACCCACATGACGCTGCATCTACAGGGCGAGCTGGCCAAGAAGGCAGATCCTCTTATCAAAGAGAATAGCACTAGAGGAAGAGACTGCTGCGGACGTGCTTACGCCGGTCACCCCTTCACACACTTCTCCCCTGACACCTCTATAGTGACGGATGCCTCTGAGAGGTGTTGGAGAGCGGTTTGTGAAGGTAGATGCACAGGGGGAAGATGGTCCAAGCAAGAAGCGACTTGCCACATCAACGTGCTAGAACTCCTTGCAGCCCTCTTGAATTACAGCCCTTCGGGAAGCAATGGAGAAATATTAGCCTGCTCCTAGATATGGACAACACAACGCTGTTGCCTATCTGAGGCGCAGGGATGGCACGACAAGCGTGGAACTGTCCCAGGTAGCAGAACGAGTATGGTCGTGGTGTTTGGACAAAAACACACGCATACCTGCAACCCATAGGCCCGGGAGGGAGAATCAGGAAGCCTATTCAGGATCCAGAGTGTTCTCTAGAGAGGTTTGCGAATGGTTCTCAGACAACCTCTTGACCGGCGAAATTTTCATACTTCGGCAGGCCTTAAGTCGACCTTTTTGCTTCAAAACTTAATCACAAGCTGGATATTTATTACTCATTGAATCCTGATCCAGGTGCGTGAAGGTAGACGATTTCGCGCACAACTGGTCGAGGATCTTCGGATTGGTCTTTCCGCCGTGCAACCTTATTGGACGAGTTCTCCGGAAGGCAGTCAGAGGCGATGCAACGCTGATTCTCATCACTCCTTCGTGGAGAAGTCGGATTTAGTTTTCTCTGCTTCTGAGACACGCAGAAAAACAACCGGTCTGGCTGAAATGCAGCGCGCGACCGCTCCTGTCCAATGCTCAAGGGCAGGGACACCCTCTGCTAGCACAGAAGAACTTCACGTTGCAGGCCTGGAGGATCTCGCCAGATCTTGGGCTACTGCGAGATGCAGCCATCGGACAGTTGATACTATCTTGACCAGCTGGGCTCCAAATACTAGACGACAGTACGCCTCACCTCTGAACAATGGCACATCTACCTCACACAGATAGGAACTGAACAAGCTGCCGCTAAACCCTCTGCAATTTCCTAGCCTCGTCTGCGGGTAAGGGGATGAGCTATTCATCTGTTGCATCTCGCAAGATGGCTGTTACCACGATCTCAGACTTACTCTTTGGAACCACGTGGGGAGAAGACGGGACGGGATTCATGAAAGGCCTTTTCCGTGCCTCCTAAGGCAAAGCATTCCTCTACGTGGGACGTAGACAAGGTCTTGAGCTATTAGGTCATCCCATTCAAAAGTGCCGTCGGTTTTTTTCGAATAAATCAAAGAACAGAACAGTAAAAAGTAATATTTCGGCTTCAAGTGAAGTAAATCCCTCCCTCACCAATGATCTGCTCCCAGTGCCCCAAAAGCCTTTGGACCTCTGGTACCTTCGATTTTCCAACAAGTGCGAGTAAATTGCTGTTGATGCTAATTTCGGCGAATGACAAAACATTGTAACGTTTGCCGTCGGAGAGTACTCTCGACTGACGAGTACAATTGGAATCGGACGGCTTTATGTCGGGCGAATGGGTGATTGAACCCAAGTCTCAGTACTGTTTTTGTCCCAGCACTGCCCTACAATACAGTTACTCGGGGTCTGGCACTACGACGAGCAACCGTGGCCTTCTTGTAGCTGTGTGGTATCATCCATTTGTCGATCTGATTATCGAGGAACAGGTAATATACACCGACAGCGATGACTTTGTTCTCTGTATAGAGCCGCTAAAAATCCACAGTGCAGAAATCCTTCGCTATAATGATCATCCGCTTGCGCCCACGTAACTCCTCATGGTAGAACTCGGACGGCTTCTCATCTGCATTCATACGACTGACTTGACGATTGTGAGTTTTGGCTCGAAGTCCAAGACCACCCATATTACATCTAAGGCCGGGGTGCTTCCACAGTCGTGAATGACATCTCATGCCGAGAACATTACTGCTAGAGGCAAAGAATAGGTACTGCGTTCGTGCTTCTACAAGAAAATTTGGTAACCATGCGCACACCCTCTTGACCATCCTCAGTTTATCGGACATAACTCGGGTAGATTTGCAGCTGGGATGTCAGACTCGCGGGGAAGCTCGACAAAGGTCCAGGCTCTAAGATCAGACATTCAGCGCTTGACTTCATCCACCCTTTTTTCTTGTATAGGATGAACATTATGGGACCATCCACAACAACAAATTCTTCCCTTTCTTCCTTCTTTGAGCTCCTGGACCAAACCTTCCACCTTGTATTTTGAAAACATCGTTAACACAAGTACTAGTCCGGCGCCAGTCAAACTTGAGCAGCGCACTTCCCTCTTATGACGTCTGATTTGAAAATCCGGCGCTGATTTTCAAAACTCAGGCTTCTTTTCGATTTCTCGAGAACTTCTTCTGTTAGTAGGTTCGCCAAATTTCACAGATACACAGCTAGAGGTACTAGCCTCCAGAGGGTGAAGTAGCCCGCTTCCCTATCCCTTTTGCTTCACTGCCATTCCTCCATATGTCATGGCACTTTTGAATGGGATGACCTAATATTAGGTTGTCCGGAAAGTTCTCAGTGTTTTGTGTTACTATTTTTAGTACATTCATTGCTGATTAAAAACTCATCCTCCCTTGTGTCTCAGTAGTACATCCTAAAAAGAATTTTTTGCGCTATCTGATGGTGTAATTGCCGTTTCACTATTGCTTGATAAACTCCCTTTTCCCAATACTTATTGAAGCATGTCAAAAGAGCATCTCGGACGATATTTTTCTTCAACTGCAAATTGGGTCAATCCTCAGTACAGACAGCTGGACAAATTAACCAGGTGTGGGGCCCAGTAGTGCTAGAGAAAGCACTGTGCGGCAATGGTTCAACAAATTCCGTTCTGGAGATTTCAGCCTTGAAGATAAACCTTGTAGCGGTCGACCTAAAGCAATACCTGACGAGGATTTGAAGGCGTTTGTGGAGGCAACCCATCCCAAACAGTTCGAGAGATTGCAGAAAAGCTATGCGTTAGCTAATCCACTTTTGCGGATGGTCTGAAACGCATTGGAAAGGTGAAAAACTATAAAAGTGGGTACCCCACAATTTGAATGACCGGCAGAAATTGGCACGTCGCGAGGTTTCTCCTTCACTGCTTTTGCGCAGCAGGAACGACCCGTTTTTAGACCGAATTGTCACCTGTGATGGAAAGTGGATGTATGATAAAGGAGACGTTCCAGACACCGTTTGGACGCTGATGAACCACCGAGGCAATTTCCAAAGCCGAATCTCACGAAAAAAAGTTTATGGTCACAGTGTGGTGGTCTTCGCTTGGTATGATCCACTATAACTTTTTGTCACCACGCCAAACCATCACAGCAGAGTCCTATTGAAGAAATCGACGAAATGTACCGAAAATTGCGTCAGCTGCAGCCAGCACTTGTCAACAGAAAGGGTCCGATGCTTCTGCATGACAACGCCCGCCCACACGTTTCACAAGTCGCTATCCATAAATTGAACGAACTGGAGGTTAAAGTTCTACCTCCCGCCATATTCTCCAGACCTTTCGTCAACCGACTATCACATTTCAGACATTTTAGAACTTCCTTGCTGGAAAATACCTCATCAATCAGGACCAGGCAAAAAGGCCGTACATGGATTTCGTGATTTCTCTAACACCCAGTTTTTTCTTTGATGAGATTTATCAAATCGTATCACATTGGCAAAAGTGTACTGATTCGAACGGTGCCTATTTCGATTGAATCCGATGAGTATTAAGAAAGTTATGATCTTTCGAAGTGAAACACTCAAAACGCTAAGAACTTTCCGGACAACATAATATTAGATGATAGAGCAGATCGAATGGATTCATGCTCTATAAAGGAAATCCACGAGTCGACAGCGTCGACTGTAGAATCCTGGAGCAGTCACACAAGGTCCAATTCAATCCAGCATAAGCTGTTTAAACATGATATGAGTTTCGCTTGGTGGAGCCAACAAGTTATCAGCTTGAAAATGTATTTTGGAAGGGAAAGCTTCACTGGGTTCCTGTTAAAGTAGACATTAAACAAATGTAGGTAATATGGATTGCGTGCAACAGACCTGCACTACCGCAAAAAAGTTGCACATGTGCTCAAATCGTAAGATCCTCAGTTCTTGATGCAAGCTCCAGAACGATTATCCTCATAATAAAAGTTTTCAAAGGAACCAGAAATAGAGAATCGGCCGTCTTCCACTGCCAAATAATGAAAAAACTAGGTGAATCAAGCCAAACAGAAGTGTTATAGGGACTCCCATGAAGTGTTTCAAATGAAAGCGAAAAATTTCCAGGAGTTAAGGGTTCCAACATGCAGCCTCGCGTCTCCGAAGCCGCTTGCTACATGCAGTTATGGTTCTCAACTTGCGCAGACAGAGCAGAGACTGAATGGTCCGTAGTTCCCTTCAGAGAATCGTGGCAGATTTGGATTCAGCGGCTCAAGGCATGTCCACATACATCTCATTGTAAATGGCCGCATTGACCGGTTGGGGTTCCCTTGTATGAGATAGGGTATGGGCCAAGAACATCAAGTGGGCCACAAAAACTGTAAGCTGTTGATTAGATTCGATGAGGGGCGTTAGGAAGGTGAGGTCAACGTATTCACAGCGCAGGTCACAGCATCAGGAGGCGTACGTTTCAGCAACTGATATAGAGGGTGAGATGAGGACACCAACCGTGGGTGACTGGAAGCGGTAACTATTGATAGGGGCTGGTAAGGGAAGTTGCAGTCGTCGTCGCTGTTCAAGGTGGTTCACGCTACCAAAGATGCCGGGGGTACGGTAGTTGCCGAGATGTGATGATAAGGGGGCGGCGCGCCTGGGAAACGCTAGGCCGCGGCGCGAGAAAACGTAAATGTAGCCACCACCAAGAGTTTATGAAGCGCAGCCGTGGTACTATCCTTACCAGGGAAGGTCAACAGGTTGCCATGGGCATTCAAGATGAGATGCATTTAGACGTGTACGTCTCGGGACGCTGAACTCAAATCTGCTTCCTTTGCCGAACGATTCTCTAGGAGCAGTTAGGGGGGAAGGGTCATTCTAGCATAGCACTCGCCGATTCTCCTATGTGCACCTCAAGTTAAGTTCTAGTACAGGCAGTCTCGAGTGGTCACTGGTGTAGTGGATAGGTAAGTCGCTTCATAGATGGGAGGTCATGGGTTCGAATCCTTGACAGGTCCGGATTTTTGCATTTTTTCGGAACATCTTTTGTGAGTTCTGAAAATACTTTTTCCGTTATTTTGTCAAGGTTGCTCTTACTTGCAGCAGGAAAAGACTTAAGTGCAGGCATTTTGCTTCGCTTTCAAGACTTTCCGGCAGTGTTTACCCTTTACTGCCCAAATCACCCGAAATCAGGCCACTTTTTGACCGACTTTTTTCTCAGAAGAATTCGCTGAAAACTTGCCTACCAGGATACTCTGCTTTCCAAACATGATTATCAAATCCGCTGGCACGGAACGTCCTAGCACCCGTGCCACAGGCGCCAGCGCCAAAATACCCTAGATCACCAAGTTCATTGATAACTTGTCAACTGGGGAGTTTGACTCCTAAATACGAATATCACATCCGCACAGCCTGAAACCGCCCGACGCATACGCCACAAGCCACCCATCACATGCTTGTCCCGACTCCGGTGCGTGTAGCACAGATTCCAGCCGCTTTCGTGCAGGGCTCTGTGTTAGGGCAGTTTGGCAAGCTGGCCGAAGTTTGGCAAGCACCACGCTTCCTGGGTGCCTGTCGTAGAAATCCTTCCCTTTGTTGAAGCTCAGCCTTAGCAGAGAAAGGGCCTCATCTCAGGGGAGAGGTGCAGACGCAAGTCGCGTAATCACATTACTCCTTTTTCTCTATCCCAAACATTCTCAACTTCGCCCCACCCAGAAGTGATGTTCGTGTTTAATAGGACAAACTGCTCCAGTTGAAAAGTTTAGTGATTTTGGTGATTTCGAGTATTTCGGAGCCGGTGCCAAGATTTTCCGGGCTCAGCTAATGGGATATTTGTGTCCAGGAGATCAAATACTCCAGTT